TTACAATATACCCTTAGGATTATTTCCAAAAACATTAAATTTTCCAGGGAGGGGAAGGGTGTTTGTCTTCTGGAATTTCATCTAGTTACAGTCCTTTTCTGGATTGCACTTCTGCAGAGCCCTTCACACTGCCATTCTGAGTCTAAAAGATGTTTTAATGTTGGAAAATTACTGTGAACTTTACAATACTAAGAGATTTAAAGGGGAAAGACAACACAATTAAATCAATAGATGCAGAAAAAGCATTTAATAAAATTCAGCACTGGATCCAGAACTGGAAAGAGCATTTCTTTAACAGATAAAAATCATTTGCCAGAAAATAAAAGCAACCATGTGTAAAACTTTGGAGATTTAATCTTCAGTGTCAGGAATAAGGCAAGGATGCCAATCATTGTCAAATATATTATCATATTAGAAATATGTAGTGTAAGTATTGAAATGAAAGAAATACAATTGTCATTACTTGCAGCTGACAAGATTGTTACATCCAGGACAATTTATAGACTTATTGGATTTAATAAAAGAGTTCAGCAAGGTTGCTAAATACAAGACCAATATGTAAAATCCAACAATACTCCAGTTTATAAACTAAAAAATGGAATATTTAAAGTGTTATGATAGCAAAACTATAGAATTAGGAATAAATGTAAGACGTGCATGACCTTGTAAGATGTAAGTGAAAGACACAATGGAATTATATCTTTATAATATGTATCATAAATAGAGTGACGTGTTCTATTCATAGTTGAGAAACTCAGTAAACAATCCTCTGCAAGCAACCTGTACAGTCATTACAATTTCAAAAACAAGATCCAAATGTGACAAGCTGATTCCAAAACTTAGGAACAGAGGTCCAAGAAATTTCTTAGAAGATGAGGGTAATCATTCTACTACATTATGATTGCCAATTATAAAGCTACAATGATTAAAATGGTGGGTTATTGGCAAAATTAAGTAAGTAGACCAATTTAACATGAGTACAGAGACCAGAAATATTCCCATAATTACATGGAAATTAGATATAATGATAGATGAAGGCTTATAAATCAGGAGGGAAAGGATGAAATATGGTTTTTAAAGGTGCTAGAAAAAGTAACTATCCATATGGAGTTTACAAGAGAATTTATGAGAATGTAATCATGGCTTTAGTTAGGAAAAGGGCTCTCAAGGAAATAAAATGAAACTGGATTTGACTATATTTAAATTAAAAACTTCTGTATAATATCATAAAGTCCTCTGTTCTAATTCTCCATATCTTTATGTAGAAGTTAAAAAATCCCTAACAAAACATCTATAAAATAGCTAGGAACATCTATAAAATAGCTAGGAATCGACCTAATATGAACTGTGCAAAACCTTCATGAAGAAAGTTATTAAAATTACTCTAATAAAATGAAGCCTATCATGATACTAATGGCAAAAACTATATTATTTAAAAGTCTATTATCCTCAAATTAATGTATAAACTAATACAATCTCAATCAAAAGAGCAACACAATTTTAGTGGAACTTAATAAACTGATTCTAAGTTTCACCTGAAACAGAAAATGCACAAGAATAAGACAACGGCAGTGGGGGAGAAGGAAAGGAAACTGGCCTATAGATAGCACAACACTTTACCAAGTCAGACAGTGAAGTATGTGGTCATGGGAACAGAATCTAGATCCACTACCCAGAAACAGACAAGTGAACATATGATAAATCTGGCATTTTTCAAATGGTCAGAGAAAAGATTGGACTATTCAATAATAGTAGGAGCAATGGCCTTTCTGTCTTAAGAGATACCTCTGAGACAGAAAATAACCTATAGTAAAACTAGGTAAACATAACATGAACAGGGAACTTGTAAAGGAGGATCTACAAATGGAAATGTTTGTTTTATAAGTAATCAGAAAAATTCAAGGTAAAACAAGGTATTTTCAACCACAACACTGGCTAGGAAAACAAACTCCTGAGATTGACATGGGCTACTGTTTGCAAGAGTGTGGAAAATTAGTCCTTTTATGGGGTGTGAATTGAAGGAGGTAGTTCCACAACATCCATTAAATTTAAAAATCCACGTAATTTTAAGTCCAGCAATTCCATGAAGGTAGAATTACACTTAGAAAAATGAAAAAGTGTCTAGCATACATTAAATGAGAAGTTAGTTGCTAAATAATGAGGATGATAATAATTGCATTTTTGTAAAATCACATGTAAAACAAAACAACCTGCTGTAACAAAGAGACTCCAAAAGATAGTGGTTTAAACAAGTCAGGAATTTATTTTGCTCTTAAGTAACAGGTGAAAAGGAAGCAGTTTGAGACTGGCAGGCCAGAATCTCCATCCTCAGCACACAACTCTGACCCTTTTGTGTCACTGCTTAAGCTCCCAAAGGCAAGGTGGCCAGCACAAGAGGGGAATGTTGAGCGAAGTGAATACCCAATTTCTCATTTCAGGGCGCAGTCTGGACGTTCTCTTCACATCCCACTGCCTGTCACGTGGTCACAATTAACCATTTAGCAGAGTGTTAAGTGAGCAGCCTTAGTGTCCAGGTAAAAGGCAGGAGTCTTAGCAGGAAAGGAGAAGGGAAAAATGGACATTATAGCAGCAGTTGCTGCCACATGTATCTGCAAAGGCATGGAAAACAGCTTGGAAGAATACACACCAAATATAGTACTAATCTCTGGAACAGGAGCAAGAGGAGTATTGCTTGAAATGTTTTAAACAGTGATAACGTTTTAACTAAGGAATTTTTCACATTTCACAAAATTTTAAAATCCTTTATTATAGCTTAATACCGATATAACATGTTAAATACATTAAATCTATTTACATTGTACAAAGATTTAAAGGTCCAAAAATTATTTTTCATCTAAATGAGTAAGTTATTCTACATTGTTAAAACTATGATACTTGGAGCATTTTCCTCTAAGTGTCTCCACCCAGAGGCATGATGACAAAGTTTACCAATGTCCACACTGAGACACAGGCAAGGCAGTGACTACCCAGGGTCTCAGCTGGCAGTAGGGCTGAGACAGGCTGGGAGTGAAGACCATCGCCCTGTGACCACATCATAACTTTTGCCAGCATTTTCTACTTAAAGAGAAGGCTACAACTTCCCTTGCTCAGTAGACCTTAGATTTCAGACAACAGAGGTATGATGCCCAAGCACTTCATACTCGTGAACAGCATCAGTATTTTAATCTGAGAACAAGAGGGATGCAATTTTCTTATAGGTTAAAGATAACAACAACAACAACAAAAGAACTTCCCAGAAACAAAATTCATGAGTTCTGACTCCCTTCTGAACCAAGTAGTCAAGTCTAGGATGTACTGACCCGTGTAAAAGTCTATTATTTCTAGACAATGATGGCAGAATGAAGATGATAGGATCCTCTTCCTCTAATAAACCACTCTAAAAACTGAATGAAATGAACAAGCCAGAATCCAGAAAAAGCAGCAGAAAATCCTGCTGGAAGTTATGACTGACCATGACATCTCCTGTCTAAAGGGAGGGAGTCACGGGCCAAGCTATTTAACAAAATCTCAGAAAACATAACTAAAACCCAAGTCTTCAATCAAAAGCTTCGTGTTGCCTAGTAGAGCCTCTCCTCTGAAACCCACAGCGCTCCTCTTTGAGTGGCGGAGAAGAGCACACAAGAGATCTGGACCCAACTGCTCACTTTCAGCATGAGCTAGATGGGAGGAAGGCAAACAATACAGAAAAATCAGAAAGAGGGAAAACAGCAAGCCAGAGAAAGCAAATCTAAGAAACAAGCAATCTAGACCATGACAGTTCTGGAAGACACTTAAGAAATCCGGTCAATTTAAGAAAACAAGACTTCAGAGCTGAGATGATAAAAATAACAGTGAGAAGGAAAGAAAAACAAGGGTAAGAAAACGAACTAAGGATCGAAACACCACCATAACAGAACTCTAAACACATAAACAACCACCGGAAACAGACGCAGATGGAAACCAAACCTCTAAAACTGTAGAGTCACAGTGAATGCGAAGGGAAAAGAGAGACGAAAATGACTAGACAGAGGAAAGAGAACAGTGAAGCCTGACAGAAAGTTACCGGCATCCTCAGAAAGGAAGACAGTGAGTTAAGGAAAAATGTTCACGGTTCCCTCCCAGCATGGAAGCAGAGAAAAGGCTGGTCACCATGTGGTGGTCACCGTGTGGTGGTGATGGTCTATCTGGGTGTGCTCTGGAGTGGTTTCTATGCATGGGTATGTGTTGGTGGTTTTATCTGTACTTATTTTTGGTTACACTTGAGCTTTTTGCTTTTTAAAGATAACACATTTCATTTTCCTAAAACCAAGAGTCGGTGTAGGAGGGAAAATGTGCCCTTTGCGTAAAATAAAGCAACTTTAAACTGAGAAAACTATATATAGCCTTCTGCAAATACACATCTCATCATTTATTACCAAACTATTCCATGCTCTACAAATAAAAAACTTGCCAATTTAACAGTACCTTAATGGAGGATTGTTTAAAGGCAATCGATAGGATTCAAAAGGTAACAAATGTGATCTCTTTTTGAGTGGCAAATGATCAGTTTAAGCATTTAAAAATGAGGTACCCAAATGATACTGTTAATAGCTACTGATGAACTGATTATCTGAACAGGTCTAACTGAATGTAAGACATGTTTTTAGCACCAATAACAAGAATTCTTGCAAGTTCTAGTCTATAAACTTCCAATGAGCAGTAAGTAATGTGTTCCCTGATAGCATCTTCTGGGTAAAAGAACAAGTGTTCCAAGGATTAATGGTTAAGTCCCTGACTTTATACAGAATTCATTTTGGGGGGAAGAAAAAAAAGTCAACCCAGGTATTTTTGAAACTTAAGTTTCGGAGAAGAATTTCTTCTTCCCTAAAGTTTTGTTTATGAGGTAGCTATCATTCAAAGTAAACATCAAACACAGCCAACTTCCACTGACAAACATGATAATTAAATAATTAATGTTTTCACCAGAAAAAGTCAATTAGAAGTCAAGAAAGTAATGTTGCTCAGCAGTATTCTGGCTTGAGTTTCCAAATGCCTTCACCAGCAGAAGTTCTATGAAAAGTGCACAGACTTCTCAAGAGTTCTCTAAAGACACAAGACTGTGATGCTGATAACTTGGACTCGAACTCCTGCAGTATTTCCCGGGTGCTGGCCTGGCCATCAACTTGGGCCTGAAAGGCAATGAAGTTTCTCATATCCACCAGAAGGTCATCGTGTTCTGTGCTGCAGTGCAGCGGAGCAGCAGCTTCTGGGAGGTGCCCGCTTTCACTTTCTAAGCGCTCTGGCAAAATCAGGTGGTTTCTAGCTCTCATTTTAGCCAAGAGTGAGGACGAAGCGAGGGCCCCGGATGAAGACTCTGTGTCTTCAACTTTTCCACTAAAATGCTCCGAAGCATGATCTTTTCCATCCCTCTTCACAGCGCCGTCCTGGAGAAAGAAGACCAGTGCATGGATATATTTAATCCCCTATTTATGCTCCCACTTATTTCTCCAAAGGCTCTGAGGGGCCATAAGATAACACATGTGCCCAGGGCGCTGAGGCTGATGGGGAAAGAATGAGACACCGTCTGATGCAAATGGAAAGGAAGGGAATTAAGTGTCTAAATTCACCTGCTCTTAGAGAACATTTCCTAAAAAAACCTCAAATTACACTATTTACTTCATCACCATCTTAAGTGGTGAGCATGGAGGGAGGGCCAGACTTAGAGAGAAGACTTCGAGAAAAACCGTCTCCAGGAGGTGTGGGCTCTGTGGGCTTTTCCTGTTCTTCCTCCCAAAGTTTCCCTTATCTGGGCACCATGGGATAAGGTACAGTATCAGAGTTGTACTTCTTTTCACTTTTAAATCTTTTACTACTGTACACATCATGTGAGCTTCCTCAGAACAGCAATAGAAATCTAGCTTTTCTTTGTTTTCCTACTGCTAAAAGAACTAACACGGAAAGTCAAAAAAAGTTTCTCTACTCCTAAATGTGTTCAAATTAATCTAAAAGTAGGGATCTGAACCTCAGAGTTTCCAAATTTCACAAATAACACAACCCTTAAGCAGAAAAAAAAAGAAGAAGAAAGTATTAAACGATGAGACTATGACCTACTATTTACTCTCAGTGAAGCACTCAAGGCATTTAGGGGGTTGCAGGACAAGGAGAGACGGATGTGATACTTTGGCAGCTTGTAAATTACAAACAATACTCGGGCAATTTTCTAGATCCTTATTCTAGACAGTAGTGGTCCCTCGAGCTAGCACTTCACCTCCAAGTGGGGCAGGCAGTATGGGCAGCAACACGTATCACCTACCCTGTGTGAACTTCTGGAGGACAAAACAGAGATTCTACTACGGATCTTGGGTTAAAGGCTCTGTCTTTTCTAGGAAGTTAGCTGGCCCTCTTAAATGCACACAAAAGTGCTTCATAAATGCACAAAAGTGCATGAAATACAAATAGTAGATGTCATTATGCCAGTGATGTCCTTCACATGTGGAATTGAGTGAGATTTCCATGGCAGTTCAATAAAGTAAATCTTGTGAATAAAAGCGGGAAGGCTATCAGATTACCTGGCATTTTTCCTTTGGAGATGCTGAAGAGGGATGCTGCACAGGGAAACTGGAGTTCCTTTTCTGACCAAATCTGCTCCTAAGTAAGCAAGAGTCATAGTTAATAAAATGTTACTTTGTGACTTAAGAGATGAGAACGTCCTTCCAACACCTAAACTCTTAGAGAAATTCTCTTCTGCATGGTTATTCTCTTATAGCTGTGATGCTTTTCTGCTCTACCCACTTCAGTTCAGTTCAGTTGCTCAGTCGTGTCCGACTCTGCGACCCCATGAACCACAGCAGGCCAGGCCTCCCTGTCCATCATCAACTCCCGGAGTCCACCCAAACCCATGCCAGATTCCTATACTCTTCTGGGAAATTGCTACTGCATCTCAAGTCAATGTCCATTCAATGTCCTTGCTCAAGTCACAGTGGAAACCACCCTCGAATTCTAGGTAGGAAAACTACTCTAAAAGAGCAGAGTAATTATTAATTGCTGAAACATAGCTAATCATCTTATCAAACTTTGTTATTCTCTAACTCTTACTATTTTATAACATCACCTCTTAAGCAAAAAGAGATTTCTCCTTTCCCCAGAAAATTAGCTCTGGAAAGGAAGGAATGAAAGCAAAGAAGGTAAAATGGTAAGTGTATTTCTCTTAAGTTATGCACATCTGGCTGGCCCAATCCCTCCCTGAGGGATTTTCTCCTCCTACAGATAAACAGCCAGGTTTATCTGGCGGAGTGTCTCCGCCTGTCCTGATTTTATTCCCAGCCCGGCCAGTTTGGCCTCCTCACAGCATGTCAGGGTGGCGACCTCTTACTTTTTTCCTGCTGGTGCCCCAGCAAGCCCTCTGTGGCCAGTCCAAGTGGGAACACCAGACGCTGCTCCCAGACACTGCTGCCGAGAAAGTCTCAGTGCTTTGAGGGCATCCTGAGCCACGCGGTTGGCCTCTGCCTCCACCAGGACGTAGTCTGGACTGGCTCCATCCATGATGGCGTCGTGCTTCATGACACTGTGCACGCCCACTGGCAAGAGCAAAGGAAACAGTGAATATGCTATTTCAGCTCAGACACAATCACCCGTTCTCTTCTGTCCAGGCTAGTGTGTTATGGGTGGAGGAAAAAAGCCTTCAACATTTTTGGCTGCTATTTGCCCATGACCACCAGGACCCACAAACTTTTACAAGCGTTGCGGATCTTCACCTGCATCTCTACCCAATGAGGGAAGGGCCGTCAACTATTGCTGCGTTGTATCATCAAAGCATAATGCTTTAATTACCATACTTCCACAAGCTCGTCCGTGCTATATGGAAAATTTTAAAACCTTCTACTAATGTATCCTCTATTGAAGGGGGAAAATATAAAAGCATAAACAAAAATCACATAATTTTAAAAAATAATGATCACAGAAACACTACACACCAGAAGAATTCAATACAGTCACAGGTGGAAAATTCATAGACCTAAATATTTATATTAATAAAAATGAAGGAACAAAAATAAGTGAACTGAATTCCAAGCCAGTTTTATAAAAATTAGGACCAAAAACATTAAAACAACAACACAAATAAAAAGGAAGAAAGTACTGAAGATAAAATAAAAAATTACAGAGGCACAGAACAACCATGGATCTAATTAATTAATCAAACTCCTGGTTTATTGAAAAAAAAAATCACGAAACAATCTACTGGTTTAACCTGATCAAGGAACAAAGAGGGAAATAGACAAAAATCGTAAATGACAAGGAGGAAATTATCTTGAAATAGTCAATTTTAAAAATTATTAGAAGAGTATTTTCTACACCTCCATGCAAATAAGCTTAAAAATTAAATAACACAGATAATTTCTTAAGAAAGCAGATGATGGGGAATACATGTAAATCCATGGCTAATTCATTTCAATGTATGACAAAAACCACTGCAATGTTGTAAAGTAATTAGCCTCCAACTAATAAAAATAAATGGAAAAAAAAAAAGAAATAGAAGAAAGCAGATCAGGAACTGTAGGAAAAAACAGAGAAAGTTACCAATGAACTACCTTACAAGAAAGCACCAAACCCAGAGGCTTTCCTTCTGAGACACTGTAGGTAAGCCTGCTTTCCTGAATAGAGACCCATTCGGAGACCTTTGGTAACTCAAGACCATCACCTTGGGAACACAATGACCTGTGAGGCCTGAGCAAGACAGTCCCAGGGATGATTCAGCTGTGCAAGCTGGCCTGTCCTACAGGGTCCTGAGCAACTGTTAAATCTGCTTTCCTGGTGTTTCTCCCTTGATATTAGCTATCAGCTCTCCTCCTTCCAGAGTGCCTGCCTCTGGCCATGCCCCTTCCTCTCCCCATGATCTGTCACTTGACTCTTCTGTGGCTGGAAAATCAGATATACTGAGCACGCAGAGAAATATTCTATGAATGTTCAGGTGGTACAAATCTATCTTAAGCATTGCACCCCTCCTCTGTGTGGTTAGAAGTCAGGTCCCACTGTTCGCTCAAGGTTCAAACTCCCCTAGGAAAGAGAGGTGAAGATGATTTTTAAAGATGTCAGTACAGGGCTCCGCTGGTGGCTCAGTGGTAGAGAGTCTGCCTGCTAATGCAAGAGAGACAGGTTCGATCCCCGATCCAGGAATATCCCACATGCCTTGGCGCAGCGAAGCCCGTCCGCCACAACTATGAACCTGTGCTCCACAGCCCTCGGGCAGCGACTACTGAGCCCACAACTACTGAAGCCCGTGCGTCCTAGAGCCTGTGTTCCTCAACGAGAGGCCGCCGCAGTGCGAAGCTTGCATGCCGCAACTAGAGGGGAGCCCCTGCTCACCACAACCAGAGAAGAGCCTGCACAGCAAGGAAGACCCAGCTCAGCCAAACATAAATAAATAGATAAAATTATTTCTGAAAACGTCGGAACACTTCAAACCTGACTTCTAGAAGGAAAACTACTTCCAGTTGAGTGCGCATTCTGCTCTGTCAGGGATGCCTGCTCCCACAGAAGCAGCCCCTCGGTTCTACCCCTAGCACACCTGTGGCAAGTTCAGCAAAAGGAGTACCTGATTTTCTGAAAAGCTTTGCCAGGACGTAGTCGTCATGGCTGCGTTCCTTGGCCTCGCTCTCATTTTCATTGTCTCGCCTCCGGTACTGCCTCTTCTTCACCAGGTGTGGAATTCGAGTTCCCTCAAACTTGGCGTCTCTGCGGTGCTTAGAGCTCTTCGGCTTTTGATTCGGCCCCAGGTGTTTCTCCATGGTCTCTTCTGCCACGTGATGTTTCATTTTCGATTTGTGTTTATAAAAATTATTTTCTGTTTGCTCCTTCTCCCAAAGAGGTTCTCCCTGAACCTGGCAGCTTTCTCTTTTATCAGAAAGACTCTCCTTTTCATTGATGCTTTCCTCACCAGACGTCCCATATGTTCTGCTGATTTTTGGAGAATCTGAACTGTCCCCGTTTTCATGACTTGCTAAGGACTCCTGTGGTCTGGAGACTGTATCTGTCTCTTCTCCAAGCCTCTCACTGCTGGTTAGACTATGAGGTATCTGAGCAGCATCATTCAAAGGAATGCCTTGGTCAGAAGTTACTGCATTCACTTCAGCGCCTGATCCTATAGATGTCTCTTCAGATGACATGGCATCATTTGCAGATGTCTTACAATCAGGGAACTTTTTGCCCACTGGGACATTCTGGTCTGTTCCACAGGCCGGCTGAAGTCTTCTTTTTAAATGGCGTTTGGGTGTCTGAACATCTGAACCAGTTCCTATAAAAGAGAAAAACATGCTAATGTCACACTGCATAATCCTTACATATTTCATTACTTTAAGTTAAATTATTTCATGGAATACCTGCAAAAATAGCGCTTGTTTCAGTGCTCTGGGATGTATCAGGACTACTCAGAGTAAACAGCTCATAAAGATCATTGGACTTGAAAAATCGTCTTTGCTTTGGATCTTTTAGCACTCTATTTGTCAAAAACTGCTTGAAGATTTGTCTAAAAAGATAAAAATTAAGCTGGTATGAAACAATGTTTGGCTGCACCTCAGGATTCTAAACTTACAGCAACTGTTTATTAATAAGGTTAAAAACAATCAGATTCATCAAAGACATTAAAAAAAAAAGCACACACAATAAGCCATCTAAGCTTATATTAATGAGAAAGAAAAAATACGAGAAATTATTTTAAAAAATATATATCTCTCTCAAATTACAGCAACTATTTCTCTGGGATGGCAAGATTTCTTGAAGTAATACTCCTTAAAAATTCCCTGCTCCAAAACCTGGTGGCATGCCTCTCCCTCTTACACACCCACAGCCTGGAAAGCAGCTTCACGTCAAGGGGTGCAGCTGAGTGTACTGACCGGTGGTAAATCTTTTCTTCAATGGTGCCTGCAGTTAGAAGCCTATACACCGTCACCTGCTTCTTCTGGCCTATCCTCCACGCTCGCTCCCGGGCCTACAGCAGAGAAAAAAAGGAAAGAAAGAAAGTGAAGTCACTCAGTCGTGTCCGACTCTTTGAGACCCCACGGACTGTAGCCTACCAGGCTCCTCTGTCCGTGGGATTTTCCAGGCAAGAATACTGGAGTGGGTTCCCATTTCCTTCTCCAGGATACAGCAGAGAAATGCAGCTCAACAAGGGCCCTTCTCAGCAACAAGCACTGACTAACAGCCAGTCACTTCCTTCCACTCCCCAAATAAGAACTTTGGCTAATGAGGCTAAATACACCCAAGGCCTGTTAAGGAAGACAAACGGGCAGGCGACAAAACAGACCAAGCCAGCTCTACCTGAAAAACAATGGTGTCAGGTTCCTCCCACGTCCTCTCTTCACCCACGTCTGGTGTGGATGCTACGGGTAAACTGAGAAGACCCTCCCTCCATGCGGAAGACAAGACACAGCCAGGATGTGAGCTCTACGCTGAGGCTAACATGGCATGGGGGGACGCTCCTGAGTGTAAGCCACCAGACAGTATGTCACCAACACAGTCCTTTAAGAAAATAAACAGACCTGCGTGTCTGTGCTTGGGTTCCAGTCGGGATCATAGATGATGACGCGGTTTGCGCCCGTCAGGTTGACTCCTAGGCCACCCACCCGAGTGGTCAGAAGAAACACAAATATGGATGTGTCCTAGAGGTGAGACATATGACACTCGGTATGCACACGGAAAGTCAGTTACAGCTGTTCACCTCAGCCTTCACACGTTCTACACATGGAAGCCTGGTTGCAGTACAAGCAATGGATTATGCCGTAGAGACCTTTGGTCAGTCAAGGTCCCAACTCACAGCTTCTGCTTTTCATAGCAATTATATTATCAATGTTTGAAAACTGGATTTTTAAAAAGGAATACACGTTCTTTGTTTAAACACATACACACACCCCATTAACCCAGAAATGCATCTAGTGAATAGCTGCCCAATCCCCGATGTAGGCACTGTGGGTGCAGACCTCTCCTTCGTCCCCTCTGCACAGTGGCACCATGTGACTTCATGGTTCTGTCACTTGTTACCTCATTGTATCTTGTAATCAGTGGTTGTCTGGAAGCTATTGCCGTGGTGCCATCCATCTTGAGATAGGAATAGTTTTGGGCTCTGAGAAATACTTCAAGGATGTCCAACATCTGTTTGGGAAAAGGGGTGGAGGATGTAAGAGTTTAAAAATCAAAGATACGCCTCCAGTGAGTATGTGACACTCATATAAACAGGATCACACCTTCCCCAACAGGCTTAAATTAAAAGGGGTTTCTTGGCTCGAGGCAGATAAATAAAACTACTACAAGAGTATTTTTGGTATTTCCATACTGTTCTTACAAATTTTGTAAAAAGCAGGACATCTGAGTTCAGACAAAACTAACCTGCACCCCCAAATCACACGGTATTAAGGTCTCTTTTTAAAAAAGCCATTTTCTGGGCACCAACTCTAAATAAAGATCCACCTCCTGAAGAGCTCTGCAGCTTGCCACTTCAGTATCAGTGGGTAGATTTGCCTTTAGAGTCATTTTAAACCATATCCCATTTTTTTTTATTATTGGTTATAAGTCATAAAGAACCAACTTGCTTCTTGTATGAGGCTTGTGTACGCACCTGTCTGCTTCTTGTATGAGGCTTGCATACGCACCTGTCTGGACTGAGAAAACAGCAACACTCGTTGGCCCTGCTTGTGCCATATTTTCAGCAAGGACTCAACAACTATCATTTTCCCAGAACGTTTCCAGTATCCAAACTGATCTTCCCCTAGTTCCTCGTCTGGAATGCCTTTAAGATTCTTGGGGCCTCCAGAAAAGAGATCAGGGTGGTTGCAGATTTTTCTTAGGGCTACAAGTCCAGAGAAAATCTATGGTACAAAAGAATTATGTCCACTCAGATCACCCCATGTAAAATAATATTCACTCAAGAAGGAAAGGAAGGAGGCTGTTCAATACATAACACAGATTAAGAAGTAATCCTTCATCAGCTTTTTAGTTTTCTCCCCAATCACAGCATATTAGGAATGGGAAGAACCTTTACACATCTTTTCCTGACAGGGCAAGTTCTCTAAAAACAAAGTCCTGTTGGACCAAACATATCTACTGGGGTCATATTCAATTGCTGATGATTCTCCCTCTAGAAAAAAAAGTTCACAGTATATAAAAAACTGGTTCACATTTTAAACATAAATAAGAAATATCATGCCCATTCTCAATGGAAATCTGGGCTTCCCTGGTGGCTCAGATAGTAAACAATCTGCCTACAATGCAGGAGACCTGGGTTCAATCCCAAGTCTCTCTCTGGGTTATAGCAAGATCCCTTGGAGAAGGGAATAGCAACTCACTCCAGTATTCTTGCCTGGAGAATTCCATGGACAGAGGAGCCTGGCAGATTATAGTCCATGGGGTCTCAAGGAGTTGGACATGACTGAGGAGTCCCAAATAGGAAAAGGAGTACATCAAGGCTATATATTGTCACCCTGCTTATTTGACTTATATGCAGAGTACATCATGAGAAATGCTGGGCTGGAAGAAGCACAAGGTTGAATCAAGATTGCCGGTAGAAATACCAATAACCTCAGATACACAGATGACACCACCCCTTACGGCAGAAAGTGAAGAACTAAAAAGCCTCTTGATGAAAGTGAAAGAGGAGAGTGAAAAAGTTGGCTTAAAGCTCAACATTCAGAAAATTAAGACCATGGCATCTGGTCCCATCACTTCATGGCAAACAGATGGGGAAACAGTGGAAACAGTGGCTGACTATTTTTTTGGGCTCCAAAATCACTGCAGATAGTGACTGCAGCCATGAAATTAAAAGACGCTTACTCCTTGGAAGGAAAGTTATGACTAACCTAGACAGCATATTAAAAAGCAGAGACATTACTTTTTCAACAAAGGTCCACCTAGTCAAGGCTATGGTTTTTCCAGTAGTCATGCACGGATGTGAGAGTTGGACTATAAAGAAAGCTGAGCACTGAAGAATTGACGCTTTTTGAACTGTGGTGTTGGAAAAGACTCTTGAGAGTCCCTTGGACTGCAAGGAGATCCAACCAGTCCATCCTAAAGGAGATCAGCCCCAGGTGTTCACTGGAAAGACTGATGTTGAAGCTGAAGCTCCAATACTTTGGCCACCTGATGCAAAGAGCTGACTCATTTGAAAAGACTCTGATGCTGGGAAAGACTGAAGGCAGGAAGACAAGGGGAGGACAGAGGATGAGATGGTTGGATGGGATCACCAACTCAATGGACGTGAGTTTGGGTAGACTCCAGGAGTTGGCGATGGACAGGGAGGCCTGGTGTGCTGTGGTCCATGGGGTCGCAAAGAGTCGGACACGACTGAGCGACTGAACTGAACTGGAGTGACTAAAATTTAGGGAAATCTGCCATGTAACTTAGCAAATGCATTTAAATATTATACTCCTAAGTACCTCACTAGAAGTTCTATAGTTTACTATGTGAGTCAGAGGTTGAAGTTCCATTGACTTTTACATTAGTATATCAGAAAACACGCCACATGAAAAATACAGATGGAAACAATGTGTGGGATGGTTCACAAGGCAGAGGACTTAGGAGCCCCAGAATGAGAGAGCCCACCTGGCCGCCCACAAGCAAGCAGGCACCTTCTACAGCTTTTGGCCAGTGACTCAAGTCACACTCATCAGTATAAAAGTTCAAGTGGAAAAGATAAACCACAAATTGAGCAATAATCAGAGAGTATGGTTGTTCTAACTAGTAAACAGATAAACAACACAAGATCTGAACAAAGCAGGAACACCGTCAGCAATGCCCAGAGTCATCTGTAACTGATCTTTCCGCCTTGAGATCTCTGCTGTCCAACACAGGAGTCATGAGCCACGTGTGGCCACTGAACACGTGAAGTGTGGCAAGTCCAAACTAAGATGTGCCACCAATGTAAAATACCCAATTCTGAAGACTCAGTACAAAAAAAGAAGAGTAAAATATCTCAGTAATTTAAAAATTTTTATTACATACTAAAATGATATTTTAGATATGTCAGGTTAAATAAAATATCTTATTAAAGCTGATTGTACCTGTTATGCTTTTCACCTTTTTTAATGTGACCATGAGAAAATTTAAAATCACACACATAGCTTGTATTCTCTATCCACTGGACAGTGCTGATCCTACCCACCTAAGGCTTCACAATTTGGAGGCATGTGAAGATAAGTCAGGGTAGATACAGGAGAGATGAATAAATGTGAATGGTTTAGAAACCCCCTAAAGATGCCAACGATAGATGAAATAAATTGTTAAGAGATGGTTACAAGAATAAAAATGACTTGATCTGGAAGAAAAAACAGGTAGATATCATGGGACACAGGAAGCCTTGTCACCCATATTCATCTCCATCTGCCTCCATGTAGGGGCAGGACAGTGAATTTCAGAGCATTCCCTGCTCCTCAACTGTGCCTCCAACAAGGATGAACCAAAGACTAAGGAATTTTACATGTCTCAAATAAATAAATAAATAAAATACAGTTCACACTTTAAGATACTGAAGCACAAAGAAGTTGAAGAGTTTACATGGAGCTTCTGACTAAAGCTGATGACAAACTTACTACGTAGGCTTAATAAAGAGACATTTACACACATATATTGCTGAGCATGGCCAATAACTAAAATGCTGTTACTTATACAAAAATGCATTATAATAATTCTTCCTCCGTGCACCCAGCAGCCCCGGGCTGCTCCCGACTTTCTACATAGGGCCGGCAATCCCTGTAGGACCCACCATCACAGACCCCGTGGTCTAGTGCATTTTTCCACTAGACCACACAGTGCTGGGTTCAAATGTTAACAGTGCTGCAGTACAGATAAAAAGGCAGCATTCTCAAATCGCGTGTTCTCTTACTTCTGGAAGGACTTCAAAGGAAGTAAAGGTTCACACCCAAACGTTTTCAAGACGGTAACACTAGTGAATCTCTGACTAGTACTAGTCCCCTTTCCTCCCCCATGTCCCTTGGTCCACAGCTCTTCCTCTCCAGCTTCTATTAATATTATTTGGCTGACCTGCATCTCTCCATTGAGAATCCTGTAAACTTCTTTGGAATCAATGAAATTTTGGTAGACTTTATGTTGTTCATCTGTAAGACGGCAAAACAAGACCTAGGCGGAAAATAAAAAAAAAAGACTTTAAAAAACTTAACAGTACAAAATACTAAAATAACAAAATCAACTAATCAAAACAAGCATGATGTATGTAATTTTCACAATGTGCCTCTTATTAAAAACAAAACAAAGCAAAAAAATACATCTTAGAGCTGAACAATGAACAGGTCCCTCCTTCACAGCCCCTCCATCTCCATCATCTATCCACCCTGTGGTCCCCATGCCCCATGGTCCCCACCCCACTATCTCTGAGTCTCTGAAGCTTGGCTTCCTGCTCCCAAGGAAGTTCTGAACCAGGTTCATAGCCCTTCCTCCATGCCAGCCTCCAAGGGCTCAGACCCTCTCAGCTCGCAAGCCCCTCACCCAGACTTCACTTCAGCAAGTCCAACCAGGCTCCAAAACGTTGCCTGGCACCCCCTTTCCTGAGTTCTAAGCCACACACAAGATTACCAGACTGGTCTCTGACAACAACCCCTACCCTGCCGGCCAACTGCGCCTACTACTCCATGCCACTGCCTCTGTCTCAACCTCTGATTCATGTTGATGTATGGCAAAAACCATCACAATATTGTAAATTATCCTCCAATTAAAATAAATAAAATAATTTTTTTAAATCCAACAAAAACAACAAAAATAGAAACTGAAGCTATCAGGCCTGATCAGTCTCAAAAATAATCGATCAAAACTTCTTCATCTGCCACATGTGGTTATTTTCCTTTATTTTCAGAACAGGCCCCTACATGAGGTCCAGGACAACCCTCCCATCTTTGTACTAGATCCAAAAACCTACTCATTCTCATCAGGTCAGTGCTCCATGCCTTAGATGCTCCAAAATCCAAGGGGAAAAACCCCCTGAAAGAATGTGCACAGTGACCACCTCTTCTTGCCTTCCAGTCACTCCTGAGCCCAGAAGGCTCACACGTCACAGGCAGGTGTATACAGCAGACCCACCTGCCCCAGAGCACCAGCAACCACACCTGTTAGCCTCACCAATTCTATATGTGAAAAGCAGAAAGAATGACAGGTACATTGTGCTTTAGGAATGTTTTGATAATTCCTGGTTTTACAGACCTGTTCGTTTTTATCTGGCAAAGAAAGGCTCATTTTGACATCCGACTTCATTCTCCGCAGTAAGTATGGATTTATGGTATCTCGTAAGACGCACGCACACTTATAAGCAGTTTTAACCTTTAATAAGAGAAAAGGGGAAACAATTACCCTGTCTAAGGAATGCATTTGCTCTTACCTCACAATTGATTCCAAAGTTTAAATTCTTTTTAAAAAAAGAATGATCGATGGTTGTACAAAACTACTGGAAAATGGTTTGGAAGATTTTAAGTTCCATACATTCCAGGATGCAATATCTTTCATAAGATGATCAGTAAAAACAAATAAACAAACAAACCAAAAAACTCATTAACCAAAAATATACAAAAGAGCAACCAGGTAATTCTGTGCCCTCTTCCCCCTCTATTTAATTACTGTTATATACTTAAACCCTAAAGTAGAGATTTATTCAGTGCTTGACCCCACCCCCCCACAGGGAAAAAACTGCTTTCAAACAAATCTCAGTTTATAATCTTATATTCTCCAATGGCCACAAAGGGGCTGCTACTTCACAAAACTGAAGATCAAACACTAACTCTAGGGAAACGCCGCAGCAAGGGAAACAGCAGATAATAAGCAGAGATTACTGCCCACAGGAGATTCGGAGCATAAATTCAAAGAAAGCCCTATGATCCCAGAAATGAAAGGTCACTCCAGCCTAAAATGCAGCATATGGCTCTGTAATGGAGCACAGCCACATGAGATGGGTATTAACTGTCCAGAGAAAAACAAAGACCCACAGCACAGGAAACCACTCCCCCTGCAATTTACTTAAAGGCAAACAAAGAATTCAATAAATTATTGATACTTAAAAAAGTCTAAATAGGTTTAACAACCTACTCTATACTAGTTAATGGAACAAGAAAATCTCCAACCAAAGCTTAAACTTAAAGAAGTTACTGGCAAAATGAACAAAAAAAAGAGCTTGACTGTAATATATTAATACAGAAAAATTCATGTTAAAAAATTAACATGGTAGGAAAGAAAACACTTCAAAACATCCTAAGAACACCTCACTCATGTCTGTATGTGTGCTAAATCGATTCAGTCATGTCCAACTCTTAGAAATCCTATGGATTGTAGCCCGCAGGCTCCTCTGTCCATGGAATTCTCCAGGCAAGAATACTGGAGTGGGTTACCATACCCTCCTCCAAAGGATCTTCCCAACCCAGGGATTGAACCTGTTTCTCTTATGTCTCCTGCATTGGTAGGTGAGTTGTTTATCATCTGAGCTACCCAAGAATGGCAACTATGGCATCATCGACTCGATGGACATGAGTTTGAGCACGATCCAGGAGTTGGTGATAGAAAGGGAAGCCTGGTGTGTTGCAGTCCATGGGGTCACAAAGAGTCGGACACGACTGATCAACTGAACTGAACTGATGGTCTTAAACAAAAAGGAGCAAATAATAGCAACACCCTTGCTCCCAAGGACTTTACAATCTAAAAAAGGAAAAAAGACAAGTGCACAAATTTCTGAAACAAAGACTTCAAGTAAGAAACAACACTACATTTACATCATCTCAAAGTATTCCCCCATGACTTCTCAACTAACTTCAAAGAGTTTAGAAATCAGGCACACTTATCACCCTACCCCAGTAATCAGACCAGTACCAATGAAGGGATAAACCCACAGCACGTGCCTCCAGATAGGAATGGAACACTCAGAAACGTCATTTCTGGGATATTCTTGCCAATAATGTGTAACCTGATTCCAATCATGAAAAACGGAAAGACAAACCCAAAGTAAGGCACATTCCACAAAATAACAAGCCTGTAGTCTTCAAAAATGTCAAGTCTTGCAGGCAAAAGAAAGCTTAGAGGAACTGTATCAGATGAAAGGAAACTGAAGAGACATGGGAATCAGTGGAACAGCTGACACAATGTGAATGACATACAGATTAAATAACAGAGTTACATCACTGCCACAAACTGTCTCCTGATGTGGATGTTACACTACGGTTATGTAAGACATCTCTGTTCTTAGTAAATACAACTGAAGGATGTAGAGGAAAGGGGTATAGTGTCTGCAACTTACTCACATGATTCAGAAAAAAAAAAAGAAAAACTTTGTGTGCATGTGTGAGAGGTAGGGGAGAGGGTGGGAAGGAAAGAAAAGCAAATATGGCAAAATGTCAGCAAAATGCTAAAAACCAGGGAATCTGGGTGAAGAGTATACAGGGGTTCTTTTTACAATTATTGTAACTTTCTCAAGTTTGAAATTATCCCAAAATAAAAAGTTAGGAAAAAAAACAAAAATCAGGATACCTAAAGGATAATGGGGACTCAATGGAGGAAGACAGCTCTTATAAAAGTTAACTGAAGATCAAAACTCATTTAATCTCAAAATTTTAAAGCTATTAAATTGGTTTTCGATAGTTCTCTAGTTTTAAAGATCTAATATCCTTTTTCTAGTTTTAATATTTCAAAATATGTGACCACCTCTTTTGGTGGCAGGCTTTATTTCTGTTATAACCTGGCAGGTACAAGCCCAGCCTGAGGGCTGTGCAAAGACCTTGCCCCCAAATGCCACAAACTGCTCTCCAGTTGGCCTTACCTCCCGATGTTTCTGTGTGTGACAATCCCACTCTATCAGTCACCCAGGCCTGAAACCTCAGAGGTAAGCTGCAGCAAGCTTGTCCAGTCTCCCCCCACCCAATTTCCTTTATCAGTTTTCTTATCCACCTCCACATCTTGTTAGTTCTGTCGAGAAAACGCCACCCGGGACTCCTGCTCTCCACCTTCTTTTCTCAGGATCACCACCCACAACCAGGTCCAGGCTCTCCTCACCCTCACTCCCAACAACTCCAGCAGGTCCCTCAAAGCCAGCCTCCCTCCCACAACTACCTGCAGCCTGAGTAACCCTCCAAGCACAGCTGTTCCCAGCTTCCTGCTCAGACACCTTCAGTGGCTTTTCCCTCAGCGTTTCTGCCTCCCTTCAAGACCCTACTGCCAGCATCCACAGCTTTCCTGCAACTCCCCCACAAGCATCTCCAGTTGAGTCGAGCATGTCTCTTCATTGCCCGTGGCCATAGAGTAGCTGATGCATATGGTTGCTCTAACCTAGAATGTGCCACTCTTTCCAGCCTTTTTTCCCAGAATCAGGTTAAAGGATATATGTCTTCTTAAATCTTTCCTGGTTTCCCCTTTTCTAAGCTTTTACACTACTTTATAAGATGCACTACTCCAATTTGCACCATTATATGCTGTCCAGAACGAATTCACTCGTCTCATAATTCTGACTGCTCTTGAATTTTTTACATGATTTTTAAAAAACTCATCTGGAAAATTATGTGCTTTTGAGCAAAAATAACTTTGTGATTTTTATAAGCTGGGCCATTCACCTTACATTGTGAAAGACTTGGCTACAAAGTATAGTATTTAGTAAGACTGTTTTAAGTATTAAAATGCCAGAAGTGTTACCTGGCCAATACATTACCTGTACCGGGGAGGCGTTTGAATAACCCCCCATGGTGATGGGGACTGAGAACTGCTCCATAAACACAGGCAATGTACCCAGCTTTCCCGGGAAGATGAAGTCAAAGAGAGACCACAGTTCTCGGAGGTTATTCTGCATTGGTGAGCCAGACAGGATGATGCGATGAGGTGTGCGGAACTATTACCGTAAAGAAAGGACTTTTCTATTAAATTCACCTTTTAACATATGATCATCAACCCTACCCAAAAACACTCCCATGCAATCCTGTCATTTAACACAACTACATATCATTTTGGTCTCCTCTAAAATGTAGACATTTTATGCAACTTCAATTCTTCAATTACACATAGATAAAAAATATATATACATAGATAATGTATATATATGGAAGAATTTTTCTTATTGTTCAAGTTGAAGACTATGGACTAGAGTTGGATGTGGTTACACTCTAACAACTGATCTGTACAAGACACATTCAGTAATATTAATAATTAGAATCTGAGAAAACATGATTAAGGGTAAGAACAAAAAGTGTTCAACATTAAGGCAAAACATGTATTTCAAAGTCCTTATGCAAAAGCACAAGGAAAGAATCCCTAAGGGTGTTATTAAAAGCAGAGAGTTTATTCTCAATGAAATATTATCCACCTGGAAACCCCCTTGTTATAAGAGGTCACACCTGTTTGCAAGCAAGGGTGATGGCAGCATTTGGATTTCGAATTTTGTGTCCCTCATCCAAGATCACATAGTGCCAGTCATGCCTGCTAATATCATCTTGCATCAGTCGAATGTAGGAGTAAGAAGTGATCAAAATCCCGTGACAATGAGCAATCTCTCGAACTAGTTTCTCCTAAAACGATGACAAAATGGCAAAGCCAGTTTTAAATAAGTTAAATGAACATGACTGTTTTTTCAATTCTTTTTTTTTTTAATTGGAGGATAACTGTTTTACATGTTGTGTTGGTTTCTGCCGTACAACGTGAATCAGCCATAATTTTATATATATATATATATATACACACACACACACACACACACATCCCCTCCTTCTTAAACCTCCCTCCCCTTCCCATCCCAAGCATGACTCTTAAAATCAACCTTTCAACCATGATACACTATAAGGCACTTTATAAACATATACATAAACATAAACATAATACATACAACCTAGTTATGTATTATCACACTGGAAATCTACTTTACGTTTCAATAATCTGTAAGCTGTAAATGCTGATAATATTTCACTATTGTGGGGGAAGAGAGTCAAAGAAAACCAGAAAAAGATGTGACATGTAAACACTTGCCCAAATCTCATTTTTTAAAAATACCCTTTGTGTTAATCCATATTAAACTTCCTTCCACTTTAAACTGGGCTTCCCTGGTGGCTCAGACAGAGTCTGCCCACAGTGCGGGAGACCTGGGTTCAATCCCTGGGTGGGGAAGATCCCCTAGAAAAGGAAATGGCAACCCACTCCAGTATTCTTGCCTGGAAAATCCCATGGATGGAGGAGTCTGGCAGGCTACCATCCATGGGGTCACAAAGAGTCGGACATGACTGAGCAACTTCACTTTCACTTTTCACTTTCATATTAAACTTAAAACAACAAGGTAGATGAAAAATGATTTATTATTTTAAAACAAAAGCAAGAAAATGAAGGAAAAGTCAAGGCGACAAGAAGGACAAATCCAGGGGCTCTAATGATGTGTAACATGAATTCAAGGAGGACAGAGTACAAGGGATTAAAAGAAGTGATTTTTTAAAATGATACCAAAAAATTCTGAGAAGAGCCTGGAGTCCACGGAGCAAAACACTCCTGAGTGCCAGGCGGACACAATGAAAAAGCCACACACCTAGACATATACCAAATAGATGTCTGAATTCCAAAAATAAAGACAAGAGAAATGCTGTAACTTCTAATTAGAACAAAACATATTTTTTAAAAAAGATTCCCTTCAGAAGAAAAGGACTCTACCTGTGTTGACTATCTTTTCTGCAACACTAAAAATGTCAGAGAGCAAAGGGAAAATCTTTCCATAATTCTAAGAAGAAAGCAAAGACTCTGGAATTCTGCACTGATTCAAATTAGCAGTCATGCTTGCCAGAAAAAAATAAATTCCACCTTTAGACAGGCAAGGACAAAAAATAAACTAGCAGGAGGTGGCCTAGCAATGGCATGCCACATCCAGCTGGTGCAGGGGTGCTGTTACTATAAGAACATGGTCCCTTTGCCTGGTGGGAGAAAGGGACTGAGGACTCCACACTCTGCACTAGGGCAGACTGCAGAGATCCCCATCCGAGGCTCAGCACAGACGGGGGGCTCACAGCACCGCTGAGAAAGGACAGGGTCCTTACTGACCCAACCTACAGATGACAGAACTGTGGCTTAGAGAGAGTAAATAACATTATCAGGTCACAGAGCTGGGAAGTGGTGGAGCGGGATTTGAGTGTAAAAAAGAAGCTGACTCCACAGCTAGTATTAACTAAGTATTAGGCAACACTGCCTCTTACTTAACTACGAAAGAAAATATTTTTAAGGGAAGATTACATGTAATATACTTACCAATCTTAAATTATTACAACAGTAATTAAACATTAAAATATTGTTTTAAATACTAATGAAACTGTTAAGAAAAAATCTAAAATATATATATATATATAAAGAATCTATTTTTGCATTACTGCAAGTCCAGTTTAAAAACCAAGAGTAAGAACAGGAGAAAAATAAGAGTGTACTTAAAAAACCCCTTATCCAAGGCTAGAATGGGGTGTACACAGGTAATGAATACTGTTTAATTCTTTACCATGACAGAAAACAGGCTAAAGTACATTTGCAAAAAATGTAAGCCCCTTTACTGATAATAGCTGCTGCTGCCGTTCAGTCACTAAGTCATGTCCAACTCTTTGTGACCCCATGGACTGCAGTCCATCAGGCTCCTCCGTCCACAGGATTTCCCAAGCAAGAGTACTGGAGTGGCTTGCCATTTCCTTTTCCAGGAAATCTTCCCAACCCAGGGATAGAACTGGGTTCTCCTACTTGGCATGCAGATTCTTTAACACTGGGAAGTCCTAATAATGGTGGTTTAGTCATGTGTCTTCGGCATAAATATCAGAAAAGAAACAGATTGTAGGACTATCAAACCACTGTCAGGGAAAGAAAGGAATAGGAAATAGACAGGTGGTTTCAGACCTAACTGGAGAAGGAAATGGCAACCCACTCCAGTACTCTTGCCTGGAAAAACCCTATGGAGAGAGGAGCCTGGTGGGCTACAGTCCATGGGGTCGCAAAGAGTCAGACACGACTGAGCGACTAAACTTAAAAAACTAAACTTCAGACCTAACATTTATTTTGGGGTTGCTATGTGACAGTGGGCTGACAGCAGTGACATTTTCTACTAGGAGAGTATGGCCAAAATCTAGACTGGCAGTGAGAATTAAGTACATGGGAACCATTAAAGATATACCAAGGAAATGCAAACAAAAACCTGTGAGACACGGCCCCACTTCTTAGAATTCAACATTAGAAGGGAGAGGAAGACTAAATGCAACTGAAAGTTTAAAAGTTAGGATACAAAGGATCTGAGGCTCGCCATCACTGAGCTCCTTCTGACAACTCTCAGCAGAGCCTCAGCCCACTTAAAGGTCCTCATTCCTCACACCCCACTGAGGCTGAAATCAAACCAAGCAGCCACAGCAAGAGGTGAAAAGGGGACAGTGAGACAGTAAGATAAAACCAAGAACTAGTGAAGCTTAAGGACAAAACTTTGTAGAACTGATAAAGAAAAAATGTAAACAGCTCTTTGAAAAGACCCCAAAAGAGAGACCTCTGTAAAGTCAGCCTGAAGAAAAGACTAACATGGCAACATGAGAAATGTTAAGTCACCACAGAGGCAGTGAGCACAAAATACCAGCCAATGCAGTGTGCAATTTAATGCCATCTGAAACCTGACAGAGGACGCTTACTAAAAACAAATAAATTACCAAAATGGACCCAAGAAAAATGAGACAAACCAATCAGACCCATACTTAAGGACTTGAAAACAGTGTCAAACTTCTCCCACCGGAAGTCTACTAGACCCAAGGGTTTTATGAGTGAAGGTATCAATTCTGCGATTTAAATGGCTCCAAAATACAGAACAAGAAGACTAGCAAAACTTCTGTTTTCAAAGCTGACAGAAGCAACATACTCACATGTACCCCTCACTAGAGATCCATTGCTTTATAAATAAAAATTTAGCACTATATTAAGCGAATAAGGCATCACAGGAGTAGAATCGCTAAATATTAGGAAAACTAATACAATTATTCATATAATCATATAAATTTTATAAACTCAACATCTTCAAAAACATTATCTTAATAAACAAGAATTAGAATATTTTTAAAATCAGTAGAATATAAAGGGTGTAACACTGACCAAGAAAATTTTGAAAGAGGAAAAGAGAGAGAAACTGTCTTGTATCATACACACCTCGGGGCTCACCTAAAACTTCAGAAGTAAGAGCTGTAATATCTGGTACTAGTAAAGGTTCGACAAGTGAGAGCTGTATCATTAATATGACACCGCTGTACCTTCTCCCTATTCACGAGTTTCAGTGCCTGCACAAAACTGCACAGAGGCCACACCCCATTTAGCCATTTCCTGACTATTTTTTTTGGCACCTTATGATAAATGCACTGCCTCGACTCAACCCACTTCTCCCTGACCACAATGCTATCCATGGCCTCGGGTCCCACCATGGCAGCGAGTGTCCAGCGAAGACACGCAAGCTGTCCAGAGATACACCGCTCCACCGTGCACTCATCCCACCAGTGCTGAGATTTTCAGAAGCCAGAGGTGATTGCAACAGCTCCTCTGCATCTGAGTTTTCCACTGGAATTCTGAGCAGGCAGCCATCTCAGCTCTGTCCCCGTCTCCCCCTCCTCCGGGGAGAGCAGTGGCTGCTAGAAATCATGGAGCAGGCGGGGTGAGGGACAACAGCGAATGGACACACGGCCACGTCCTGCACCCTGAGTTCCAGGCGTGGGGCTGTGTGCACAGAGAGAAATGGGAGAGGAAAAGAACAACTGGGGCCTGAAATACAGCAGAAGTGAAATTACCACTCACATTTGTAAAGTGTTCACTGCATCACAGCCAAACCCTGCCCATGTGGGTCTACTTGTTCACGACCTCGGAACTCCTAGCTGCTGAATTCACCAACTCACCACCTTCATTCCACTACACTCCAAGCAACACCACCCTGAACTAGATTCTGGACACCCCTCTACCACACTTAAACAAATGGGATGCCAAACCTCCCAGTTACGCACCACCAGAGTGATGCTTAGCTTCACAGGCATGTCTAAGAACTGAAGTTTATTTGGAAAATTCTGCGATTTAAGCTATAGCTATGGAAATACAAATTTTCTACCATATTCAGAAAGATGTATGATGATGAGTAAGAATCAAAGATGCTTTTATAAAAAGAGTAAGAAATTTGCTGAACGTCTGCGCTGAAAACATAACCTCCACTTACCAGTCACTGGGTAAAAACACATCTAAGACTGTTTTCACCTGATTCCATCTCAGAATTCTGTAGCTGCCTAGACTGGAGTTTCAATAATGGTGAATTGTTGAATATTATGGAGGTCTCTATCCAAACACTTAAGACAAATCATCTCGGGCGGTTTCCAAATTAAAAGCTTGTAAAATATGTAACCTCTCCGAGTTTTTGCAATTAATAGGGTACATCTGCAATTAGCCTGACTTACTGAATGCAGTGCTGTTGTCATTAAAAGATGTCTGTGAAAGTGCTGCTGTTATTATGGGGGCTCAAGAGACCAATCCCTCCTAAAGGGCAAACAGTGGACTGGTGGAAAACAACAGCCATAAATCACACTGTCAGGCAGCGGGGAGAGCCGAGAGGAGCACAGGCACATGAAGGCCATTCACAGGAAACACAGCCCTGCAGCTTCCCAGGCAGAATTTACTGCACCTGTAATTAATTAAAATTTCCTTCAAGCTAAATCTTTAATAAACAAGGATTTGTGCTGACAATGAAGAAAAAAAGGGCCCCAGCAACATAATTTTACAATATCCCTTACAGAACAAGCGTAGCATCTATCATGTCTTGTATCGGGTGTATATGCCGTCTTGAAAGTTAATAGGAACTAACATCACTCCATGTTATAATTTGTGTACTTGGAGTGGATCTGAAATAGTTAGGATGCTTGAGGGACCATGTAGTCCTTTTCTATTTTTGTTATGTTTTTTCTTGACTCCCAGCTTTTTAAAAGCCAAGTCTTTTCATGCTAGCGTTTCAGAAAATAGGCCTTTTTAAAGAACATGTGATGGCAGTCGTGCCAGATGGCTGCATCCTGGTGTGGTCTATTCTCTGGTCACACTCTGCCTTTCCCAAAAAAGAATTTTAACATTCTATTTCACTGTATCCATTTGGAGCCAATGTACCTAGACACAAGGTGGAAAAGGTCTACATGGGAAGGATTGTGAATATTTTTTATAAAGCGAGTGTGAACTTTCTATCTCAAGTATAATTACATTGAATCAATCAGAAACATCAAATGTCTTTTCTCAAGTACTGAGATGAAGAGGCCTACCATATTCTTTGTTTTCAATAGTAGGAATTACCTGAGTAAACATTATATGCTGGGGAGCACACTAAGTTTATTGTACACCCACATGAACCCAACAAATTCTCAAAAAATTACTAAAAAAAAAAAAACACCCATTTTCAGGAGTTCAAACAAGGCTCAGAGAAGCTGAGCAACTTGCCCCAGGTCACAAAGCTATAAAATGGCAGATCCAAGATTCAAGCCCTGGCCTGGTCATTATAAAATCTATGCCTTTAAATCTTTATGTCACTGCTCCATTTCCTAATCCTATGGTTCTAAATATCATGAATGGATCAAAATGATGAATCTCTTTGAATTATTAATATCAAAACTATTCCACAGTATTACCATGGCCTACAAAGCAGAGAAAGGTGAGAGAGCTTTAAAGTGACAACTTTTCAGAATATAAGCAAGACATTTCTCACTAAACAACTTCCAACAAATTGAAAAAAGGGTCCTTAATAATTAAACTTTACAACATAGTGCTAAAGATGCCACCACCTGCTGTGAGTTATGAGATAAGTATTATAAAACTGTCTTCTTTTATTATCTTTTCATGTATTTTCTTTCCCCAAGAAAATGGTTAGTTTTCCAAGGCCATTTCTGGCAACCCAAATAACATGACATACCTACAATATTGCATTTACAGTTATTCAACAAATAAAGATTAATCAACTTACGTATCAAGTTTCTCTCCATTAGAAAAAGGGATCATAAAACATAATGAGAAAAGGAAAATCCTAGATTCCTAGTAAATGAGATTTCAACTGACCATTAAAGGAGATTCAGAGCCTGAAAATGTTCTTATCTGATTTGATCATTTGATTGAAAATATTGGCCACATATTTTTTTTTTTGCATGGTTGCTGAGTATGCATTTGATAACTCAAAATTATGCTGTCAACCAAAGAGAATATTAACAAAGATAATATAGGATCACATAATGAGAGAGGTGGGAAGCTAAAAGGCAATTTAGGGAAGAAAAATGATAAATAAGCTCCATTAGAAATTGATCATTTGATATCTATTCTCTAAATGAAAAACTTTAAAAATTTTCAAAGTTTAACATCTGCCAGTTACAACAAATCTTTAGAAAAATAAGAATAATCTACTGAATATGAATAATAATTCTGGCATTATTACACTGTTAAGCTTCCCAAAGAGAAATTCTCTTCCTTTCCCTATTTTCTCCAGCACTGAATGTCCCTATCCCAGAGTGCTGCCATTTTATTTAGACAGGACAGCCAGTGGGCACAGAATGTTTCCCCATGGAAAAGAGAAATTTCAGCCTACAGGATGGAAAGGAAGTTAGACAGCAAATGCTGGCTTAGAGGACAGAATAGCACTTGCAGGATATTTGAAGTGTGATTAAGAAAAGTAAACTCTGTTGCAATTTAACATACACCTGTAAGCCAACAAGTGTGCACGGGTGGTAACAACGATCTGTACACACAAAACAAATACAAAAGGAAGAAGCAGAGGGATCAGATGCTACTCAGTGTTTTAATCCAGAAGCCAGAGTTCTGATCTCAGAAATGTTCAGAAATAGGAATTTTGTTTCCAGAAATAGAAACAAGCCCTGTGCAGAGGAATTAACACATTTTCAATATGCTATCATCACAAGTAATAAACTGATACTAATATTAATAATAAACAGTGTTTCTAAGTAGACAGTATGGATTGAAAGATACAGAAGACCACCTTTTCAATCTTTTGCATAACAGCTTACATCTTTAGAGATATGAGATACTTTATAACAGAAAAGGAGCTGTACAAAGAGTTAAGGGTCAGGGTAAAAACATAAGCCTCCTTACTTTTCCTCAAAACTTATGCAAGAAACTTTCAAATTAAAGTCCTCAGTAAACCATTACGTACTAGAAAAACTATGAACAATTATATGTATGCACAGATATGTGCATCTCAGAAGGTGCAGATCACTGTAAAAAAAAAAAAGTGAATAATCTGTTCTTTAAGGTTTTGTTTGCCCTCCAAGCAAATTAAGGAAGCAAGACTCATCAACAGAGGCACTGAACAACGTCAATGCTATTTCCATTCATTAGTCAATGTATTTCGTTTGCATGAAGGCTGCTTTTCAGGCTAACAGAGGAAATACAAGTGGGCCATGATAGGGTGAAAGTGTAACAGAAAAGGCCCAGAAGAACATAAAAGGATAAAGAGGAACCTGTGAAAAATGTGCTTTTTAAAGATATGCCATCAACTAATGAATTCTAGTATAGGATTCTGCAATACAAAGCATTAAGAAATGTCAAAAGACAAAGAATTGAAAAAAGGAATCAAAAATATTTTACAAGGGTGATAACAAGATAGTTACAATTTAGCTTGACTAGAAAAATGATTGAAACTTATTTTCATAAAATAAAAAAAACACTGCTAAAAAAACACTTTTTAAAAACTGCAGCATTTACCTCACTTCATTAATTATTTCAACTCACTTGTTTTCCATTTATCGTTTAAAATTCAGGGCAAAGTCAGCTGGTTTCAACAACAGCTAGTAAAAGCAAGATTCCACCTCACCAAACCTGAGCTACCAAATTATAGATACTCCTGTTTCACTTCTATCAAAAGCTCTGCTTACTCATGATCATGAACAAATGGGGATTTGGAGGAAAGGGGGTCTTGGCAGAATTACAAAGACATTGGAGCTTAGTGGCTCACATGTACTTAACTCAGCAAGGCAAACATTCACCAGCCCTCTCAGCTGGCACTGCTTTCATGGGGGCACAAAGACCTCACTCAAGAGCTATGAAAATCAACAGAGAAGAACTCATAACAAACTGCCACTGCTCATCTACAGCGTAACCTGCAAACCCCAGGGAAAATGTGTAATTGTCATCTATTCAGCTATAGGGGCACTTGGGATACAAAAATGATGAAGCACAGTCTCCACTCTGCAGAACTTACAGTCTAGATGATAGACAGAAATAAGAATTTAAAAAGCATAATACAAGCTATCTATGCTACCCACAGAAGAACAGATGATAAACTTCCTTTTTGATGATGTGGCTAAAACAACAAGTAAGTGAAGAAATGCCACCTTCAAAGAACAGTGATTATACTTAAATGGCAATCAAGGATTCAGACAACAAAAAGCAACTTAATTAACTAAAAGGCAATAATACAAATAACGAAAATCTCAAAATGGCAGGCTGTTCTTTTGCTCATTAAAAACACATTTTAAAAGCATGTTAACAAATGCCTTTACTGATTAAAATACTAATTACATTTTGTACCTACTTTCCTAAAGCTGTTTAAAGCCAGTAATGCCTCAAATCCATCCAGTTAACTATTGCATAAGGCCCTTGACTTCTGGTCCCACTCAGGGTATCAGGCTTGTGTTTCACTGGACAAGAACATGTCTTGTCATCACCATGGGCTGTTAGAATGATAAAGCCTACATTCATAACTGTTCTGAAAATATAGAGTTCTAAACTGAATCGAACAATAAGTGCATGAAAGAAATATCGGAACATACATCTGAGAGATAAATGGATCAAAGCAAAAACAATCATGCAAAATTGAAGGTTTTAAAACAAAAATAAGCAAAAAGGTATTGAAGTATTGTAATGTTACCTTTTTGTGGGTAAAGGACCCCGTTTCGTGCAGAATTGCCACTCTGAATGGAGGCCACCATGTGTGAAATTCCTTCACCCACTGATGCATCACCGTTGTTGGACAGACAATTATGGTCGGACCCAACCCCTCGAACCTGCACCCAAAATGTCCAAGAGGAAAAGACAACCATGAATGACAGTATACGGATGATTAACTGCCAAAACATGAAAAAAGAAACAAACAAAACTTCACAGCTCAAAAAAGAAAATCCTGAGGATAAACCCACCTAGTGAAATCCCTACAACCCCATTCATCAATGAGTGGATGCATGTATTAAGAGGAACCACCAGCTAATATGTTAAAAATATCATCTACAGTAAAGTAAATCAAACAAAAACTACCTAACAAGGAAATTTTTCTCTCTTCTTCTATTTCAGATTAGTGAAGGCGTATACGGTATATATCCACCTAGGTGAACATAAGAACATATTCAATCAGTTTGAAGCTTTATAGTTTTCACCCACAGGATTTCACTGAGTCTCACAGCCCCGGGAAGCCAGCAGGTTAAGAACCCTGCAGTGTTCAGGGTGCTGAAGGCTGGTGTGCCCAAGGTGCCACGGTTACCAGGAGATGGAGTAACACCTCAAATCAGTCTTCTGAAAGCTGCAGCCTGCTTTTGCACTACATCGCTTTTCCATGTGATACAAAACCAGTGGGTGAGCACTAGTGACCATTTCTCCCAGAAAGCCCCAGTCAACGGAGTTCAAGTGTCACAGTTTTCGTGGAAAGCAGCTGAGCGTTACATAGCAAGAGCCTTAACAAGAGTCGCATGTTGACCAAACAATCCCAAGACAAACATTCGTGTACCAAGATACACACTGTAGCGTTCTTTGTACTGCAGAAAAAGTGGGCGCTACCTGAACATCTGTAAATAAGAGACAGGCTAAATAAACCATCCTATTTCTTTACTACTGCACAGGCAAGTAGCTAGGAGCACTGCCTAGGTCTGAACCCCAGCTCTGCAAACACTTATGGAACTTCAGTTTCTCATCTTAAAATGGGAACAACAGCCAGTTATATGAAGATTAAATCAATAACTATAAAGTGCTTAGAACAGTATATAGTAAATACTATTAGGATTTGTTAAGAGAGAATATATCATACAACCACTAAAATCATCTTTGAAGAATATGTAACACCTGGGAAATGTTTCGAGGTCTTTCTAAAAACCACATAATGTATGGAATCATCCCAATTCATTTACACACAGGGAGCCAGAAAACTGGTCATGGCCATTGTGTCAACATCCATCTCTCCCCCTTTTCCTTCCGGACAGAACAACTGTGTGCAGGTGTCCCCTCTTCCTTCCCAGACATGTACTTGATGGGACTCTGACCACTGTCTGGTTACGGCAAAGAGGGAAGGCGCTGGAAGCAGTTCATCTGCGGCCTGTTAGCATGCAGCATTCCCCTAGAGATGCTCACCAGTCCATTGAGGGGCCTGGGAAGACTGGCTGGCTCATGGTAAGGAAGCACTTATGCTCTAGGTCAGGGATAGAGTCATCTCTCGGTCTCTCATACTGCATGTGAACAAGGAAAGAAGAGCCCCGCAGGCACTGGCGGTTGAGTTACTGTGCAGAGAGATCTTAGGACCGCAAAAAGAATTGGCCTCAGGAGAACCTGGGCCCCCGAGGAGACCACTGGGCTGCTTCTGATCACGCTGTGTCTACAATCTACCTCCTTGGTAGGTTCCTAGATGTATCACATGTTATGTAAACATTTAACCCAAACTGAAGTCAGGATTTTTTTTACCAGCAGTCAAAATATCCTGATCCATACTACACCACAGGCACCTGACTGAACCAGTACCCTTCTGCCCGCATTCCTACCTGCCACATGGAACCATGTCTGAGCCCAGACCCCCACCACATCAACGCTTCTACTCCACCCTCAGTCCTGCTGAGAGACGGGTGTCAGTCGGCGCAGAACATGAAACCCAAGCCAAAGTCAAACTGGCTATGGGAATCTCTTCAACACCGGACTCACACTCAGCCACCAGAGGCAACCAGGAGCTGAGACTAACAGAGGACACTGGAGCCGACATCGCCTACCTCACTCTGCAGCAGTCACTGGCGATTTTTAAACCGTCATGCTCTGTCCCCTGCCTATTTCTGCCCACAAGGATGCTGACTATCTGAACCTATCCACTGCACACATTTTCCCCATGCTACCATCTCACTAACCCTCAGCTTCAATCACTCTGTTCCCACTGGTAACGTGGATCTAGGTCTCCAGCCCCAGTCTCTTTTCTGAGCTCCAAAGTACCATTTGCCTGGATGTCCAACTACCAGCTGGTCTCTCCACTCAGATGTCCCCACAGTACCACACGTCATCCTCCCCCGAACTGTCCCCCCTCCGAGGTTTCCTAACCCAATGGAAAGAACTGTCACCCATTCTCCAGGAACCCTCAGTGGAAACCCAGGCCTCTGCCCACTCCTGTTCTTCACCGCATCCAACCGATACAGAGTTCATATCACATACACTTCCTCTCTGGATCACTCTGTCTCTCCACTGTTAACACTCCCCTTCTAGCCATTATCCTCTCTTACCCAGGATACTGCACTTTCTAGCACCATCTTTTTAAGAAAACACAATCAGAATGCCTCATCCCTTTGCTTAAGAGCCTTTTCATGTTTGTCCCTTACTCTTGAGACAGTCCAAACACCTCACCCTGCTGTATGAGACCACGAGGATCTGACCTCGGGCCACCTCTTCAGCATCACCTCTCTCCAGAGCCCTCATCCTGACCAGCCCCTCACAGTTCAGCACCCCCCCCACCCCCCGCCAGCACTCTTTTCTTACCAAGTGTAGACTCCTCTGACCTCTCAGCCTTCACCTTGTCCCTTCTTTCCCTCTTATTCCAACCACCCTCAACCTGGCCTTCAGCCCTCAACTTCCTCCCTTCCTGTCCCTTTCTCTCCAGGTAGGTTAAGGACCCTTCCTTGGTACATCCACACTAGTTAGGACTCCACATTAACCCTGTCATAATATATATCACCCTTTGTGTGTGTGTGTGTGTGCACGCGTGTGCACGTGCATGTGTGTGCAGGACATCCTTTCTAAGCTCCTTCACAGTACAGGGGTAGCTTCTTCTTTAAATGATCTCAATGTCTAGATCACAGAAGGCAATGAAAGAATATTGGCTTTTTTAATGAAAACTTCTTTTAAAAGGTTGAAAGAAAATTATATTGAAACATTAAAAGAGATTATTTTTGAGTTGGAGATCATGGTTGACTTTTTTTTTTTTTGCTACAGTTCAATAAATTATTCTCAAACTTAATTTTTGCAAACTAAACCACACAGCACTGGAAATAGTAAAAATTATCTGCACAACTGAAAAATACTTTGTAATTTTGTATAAAAACAAGCTACAACCTAAATAAGGCTGACCCTTTTACTCCAATGTAACAAAATACCGCCAACCATTTCTAAATCCTCCCAACCTCCAGCTAGTTACTGCCCCTGCCCCTCTGCTCCAGAGAATGGGCTCAGATCACAAGAAGCCAGGAGCTGACAGCTCCTGAAGAATTCCCAGCAGTGTCTCAGCGTCCCCCCAAGGGCAGGTCCCCTCAAACTCCTTGGGAAGAGTACAGCTCAGCCCTGGCCCCTTCTGTGACGATACTCCCTAAAAGGATTAAACACAGCAACTTCTTATATCCTCCAAGAGCAATTAGAGAGCTATCAATATGCACATACTGTCTAACATGTTTAAAAACAAACTCACTTTCAAATAAGCATAAATACATACATATGTTTTTTGCAGGCCATACAGCGTTTTGAGGTCATATAAAAGGTCACACTCCTTTTATAACATGGTCGCTGTCAACTGCTACAGTATTATTTAAGGCCGACATTGTATTGCGGCTTAGCGTCTGTCTGGCATCATTACTCCCTTCAATCTCTGCCACTCTCTTAGGAAACTATGGAGGCTTTCACACAGAGTGGAAGTCCGGGAGTGGACCTAGACGGCTCCGGAGCCACAGACGGGGCAGCCACATACATTAACAATCGCATCGACTGTGCCACCCTTCTCCAGTCCTCAGTACCAGGGAGACGATCTTAAGAAAGGGCTGAATGTACTAGAGCAATCAGTACCAATTACCGCACTGGCTACAGTTTCTTTCATCTTTGATTATCATTGATTACCTAGTAAGTTTACACAACAGTATCTCCGTGGTCAAATATTTCAACCTGCAGGATAGAAAGCTGCCACTCATAGCCTTGAGCTTATCAGGAATTACAAAGTAAAAATATTTACCTTTGAAAGTTTACTAACTTTTTCAGGCCATTTATTTGTAATTAGGAATTTCCTAAGTGATATCCAAGACTTCACAGTATTAACTGAAGTTTGAAAGGTTAACCATTTATTTCTTTTCCATCATAAAGTTCAGGGGCCTATCATTATAATATGAATGGCAAAGAGAAAAGTATATAGTGTATACATTAGGAACTGGGAAAACAACCAGTATAGATTTTTATTAACCACATGTAAGTATGCTTTTCCTTCTTTTTAAAAGACATTACATATAAAACACATTTCATAAACAAAAATAAAAAACTTCTTTTTACCATTAAGTTCCTTCCTGGTATCCCAGAGACATCCATGGTTTCAGGATCACTGACCTTAAAATTACAATACTAAGACCATTCAAATAAAAACCCCAAAATCTACAGCTTGCAAGAGTTCAGAGAAAATTTACATAGCCCATGAAGCAATGCTGGCTCATGCAGAACTTGGTTTGACTGTACATCCGACTATTTCTCTTTAGGACATAAGCCTAGAGGAAGACTCCAAGTTCACCTAATTTCAGAGGAGGACATGCTATAAAATTCTGAGAAAAATGTTATACAGTTTGCCCTGGTACAGGCACAGAGAAGAGACCAAGCTCCTCTGAACACCTCTATTCACAGAGACCAGTCGTTTGGCTGATATATAACTGCATTCTGGGAAGCCACTTCTACCAATACTATCTTAATAAAGATGATCTGGGCTATAATCCAACATGCCACACTATTTCATTATGGAAAAAAGGAGATGCACATTGATAGTTAATTGATTACAGCTGCTGCTCATTATTAGCCCACAGTTCACTCCTAGTTGGATTGTCACCACTCAAGAGAACGTGTTTTAATTTTTCGATCAAAACTACACTGCAGGGATGATTTTACGTTTCCCAGGCCCAGCGTATTAGACCCCACCCAAGTTTCATGATAACAGGAAAGGAAGGGAAGAAAAGAGATGGGAAATAAGAAAATCCCAGAAATCATTTAAGGAAAGAAAGACAGTCTTAGAAACTATCTAGGGCAGCTTAGTTATCAAAACCAAACCAAAACAAACGAGAAATGCAGAGGCAAGCCAACCAAACAGCTTGTTTAGAACAGAGAAAGCATTTACAAATGGTAAATTAATGATATACCTAGGTAAGAAAACACTAAATGCCCATTTTCAACTTTGACTTTTCCATTGGGATGGAATGTTTTCACATGAAATGTAGCAGAATTTCAATATTGGAAGAAAAAAACTCTGCTTCAACACTTTATTGTAGTAACAACAAAACATTTAATATTTAAAAATCTCCCAATATATTCTTCCCTTCCTACAACTGTGTAAGTATTTCTAAAATATCCTAAAACTTTAAGTACTACTCATGGGATGTGCTGATCTGCTAAATTAATGAGAAGAGTAAGGAACAAAAACAAAGCAAAAAACTCTGAAGATTAAAATAAAAAGTTCTTTACTTAACACGTTATGGTTTGTATTTGACCCACTCCAATATTCTTGCCTGGAGAATCCCATGGACAGAGGAGCCTGGTGGGCTATAGTCCATAGGATCACAAAGAATCGGACACGACTGAAGTAACTTAATCCACAACACACACAACATTCCACTAAACATTTCTCTGTTGATGAACCTGAGTGTAAACAGTCACTTTCTGCTGTGGCTGACTTCAGGCACACTAACACTCTTTAAAAGGGGTCGTCAAATCACATCCTGTGACTGCTTGGGGTTTCTACGACTTAAGTGTCTGGTAAATATCTTGCTGTTACTCATTAGGAAAAGCCTATTAGAATCCAAGGAGCTGCCGGATTATCTGGGTTTAAAATTAAATATTCCACATAATTCATCTAGCACTAATTGATTTACATAATTCATCTACCATTACTGATTTACATAAAAAGTCAACTTATAGCTTAAATATGGAAATGCTCACTGGATTTCAAGATAGCCTATTTCAGTCCTACCACAAAGAACAAGCTTAGCTTAAATGTTTATTCTTTCAGAAGATTAAAGTTTTAATAATTTGAATTCCTAAAGAAAATAAAGATTACAACCAAAAAATAGTTTTCTATCATTTTATATTTCTATCATTTAGACTTTGACTTTCAAATTTATATGAAATTCTTAAAGACTGGGAGAGTAGGGAGAAAGCATAGTGAGCAGACAAGTATGTCATGTCATTAAAAAAAAAATAAAAGCACTATCTACAAATGCTATCACGTGTAATGATTATAAAAGAAATCCTCCAAAGATTCAACTTTCCCCATGAATAGACTTTGTACTTACTGTAATGCTCACCTGGTCTCCTGCCAGAACAAATATTTTAATGTAAAATTTAATAAATGGAACTAAAGGTATTATATCTAATTTAAAATTCCATATTGTGTAAACTATTGATATTAACATAATTGAGTTTGTAAACAATCCATTTGTAGAAGCTAACCTTAGACACTGTATTGACCCAAAATATCTAGTGGGGCTCATCTGCAAAATGAAGCATCAATGCCTGGAATTCATTAAAAGTGTTACATGTTTAATTTCTCCTGCCCTACAGCTCCATTGTCTCGTAAAAATTTTCCTTTGATGTCCCCCACTAAAAGAATTAAAGGAATATTGTAATTGAAATGTCATCAATAATTCACAAGACCCTCCTCCACAGCAATACATCTGATGAAATATTAATTGAGCTCCACAGACTGACAGTCTGCAGAGGAGCACTTGCCTGTAATTTGAACCACGAGTCCTGATCTTGCTGTAGCTCAGACCTGCCAAGAAGGCAATTATCTGGATGGTCTTGCCCAATCCCATTTCGTCTCCCAGAATCCCTCCTGCCTGCTGGCAGTGCAATTCCCACAGCCACCTAACACCTGTCTGCTGGTACCTACAACAACAAACACCAACAAGAAAAAGAAAATGGCAAACAGTGGGTAATACAGATCATAACAGAAAGTACTCATGAATTAATCATTTAGCGAGGTTCTAGTACCAGTCAGAGAAACATGCCGGATGTGTGTTTTACATGAGTATTATATTTATAAGGTCATACATTTTTGATTACCTAAGGCATAAAATCACACATTTTTCTTTACAGAACATTAACACATTTCTAATTAAACTGATAGATAGGGTAATTAGGGACTATTTCATTTCTTTTTCAACATTAGAAATAGCCTGGTAAACAAGCATAAACTTATTATCTTTTATTCAATATCTTCCTGAAAAAAAACTCAATGTTTTTTTACTTATATAAAGTTCTGATAATTTTTCTATGAAAAGATGCATTAACATTTACTTTTCCAATCTGAACAGCATAAAAAAGCAAGACAAAGAAGACTACAATGTACAGTATATACTGTTGAAAAGTCACTTGGTAATCATATTATCTTTTTATAGGAAAAATTAAATTTTAAGGCCATAAACAAGTCTAAAGAATAGGGCTAATCACAAAATTAGTACATAACAGATGAGTCTGTCATATTACTAGCAGAGGCAAAAATAACAAAAACAGTTTAAAGGCTCAAAAACACAAAAGGTGTTTTAATATTTTAAAGTAGAACTTGATTCAGTGACTTTTATCATAGATACAAAGGTCAGAGCTATTAAAATTTTAAATAAATTTTAAGCTTGATTTTAAATAAGTACAGGTCAAACAGAAATAATACACTCCCCTCTAAAAAGAAAAGAGGGTTGGTATTTGCCCTTTCCCATCAATGGTATGTTTAATGCAATAATCTAAAAATGAAGTTTAAAAAAGAAAAAAGCAAAACGCATTTCTGAGAATGAAAGAAAGATTTAACACTACGGAATGGCAAGAAGACTATATGCCAAGTTTAAAAATCTAAAGGAAAAAGCACTTAAAAGACAATGAAAGCTAAAGATTTTTTTTTCCCTCCCAAAGAAAATACCAAGGCTAGTGAGATGGCTACCCTAAAAGAAGGCGATTTTGTTGTTTTACTGCCCAAATGTTTCCTTTTTGGTACATGGTATCTCTACCTAAAATCACGGATTTCAGTCCCTGTGAAACTAGTTTTATTTACTCTTCTCTCAGTAAGTATGTCATCGTTAACTTTCCCCCAGTATTTTGAAAATCAGCTGTGAAAAAAAAATGTAGTCCAAAAAGTTCTCCCAAAAACTGATGTACGTTCACAATCCACTAAATTCCAGTCAACCAGCCTCCTTTTACTGAGGTACAAAACTAGGGGGCCAACTCCTCTGGGAAGAACAGGGGCCAAAAGCTCCCAGAGGTCATTCCAAAGCTTTCCCACTACATGACACTGTCTCCACCCAAATTGGCTCCAATCCGTCTCTGTTTGGGGCCAATCAACTGAAAGAACCTAGAGAGGGACAATCAAGAAACAATGAAAGGAGTACCAAAGGGTGACCAGCATGGTATCCAGGGGGAGTTAGGGCATCCGGATTCTAGGTGACCCATGAGAGGCAGAGAGTGTGCTCAATGTCTCCTCATCTACAGATATAATTTCCAAGGGCATCCAAACAGCATATGGTTGTGTGTATAAGAAGTTGATTAACACTAAAGAAATGACTTAAGGAAAAACACCCACTAGGCAGCCTTGTAAATCACCTCACTACATGGAAATCCCTAACCACACCTGGCGACACTGTGCAAAGATGGCGAAGAACAGACCCTCTTTCTATGAAGGCCCTTGGGCTGCATCAGCACACTGGATGGTAGGCACCATTCACTGGATGAACACTGCCGGGACCAGGGCTCTGATTCCAGTAGTGTCACTAACTGACTCAGGTTTTATTGCTTTAATTTCCTTAATAATAAAACACTGTAAAACAATTCCATACTTTAAATGAAAGCAGGCTATGGAATTCAGTTTGCAGAACATTTGAAAACATAAAAATTACTCTTCAGGAAAATTTAAAGATTTTTACAAACTGCTGTAAAAGAGTAACAAAATTACTATACTCTGCTTCCCCCATGAGACTGAAGCACCACAAAAGAACCACAGATAATTGGGGTATTTTGGCACTGTCACATTAACCTAAGACTGCATTTACTAGTGTGGCTAAAAGTAAGGTCAAAAGATTGAATTTTGTCACTTGATTGCTAAATCACAGAGTCAAATATATTTGTTGAGTAAATTTTCAAAACAGAATTTCAAAAGTTAACCAGGATCGTGCAGCAAATAGCACTTAAATAGATAACAGCATCTGCTGATTCCTTTGTGTACAAATATATCGTTAATTTCATTCCACAGAGTGTGGTAAATACGGTAAAAATATATCTACAGCTTAAAATTAAATTGGTCTGGCTAAAACTTAATCATGAAAGAAAAATGGAGACTCTGCCAATGATATTACATTTTTTTTCATATAGCAGAATAAAAGAAACAGAAGTTTTGTAACATTTGAAATATTGTAAATTCTGCTTCTGAGAGATGAAAAATGAAAATAAATATTTTCAAGGAATGTGCAATTGAGACAAAATTTTTTTCAACATGTATTTACACTAACTACAATAAAGCTAACAGTCAATACACTGAATCTGATACATTCTTAATAATAAGTAAAGTTTAGTTCTATTAACTCTGAAATTTCTTTGCTAGAAAGTCCCACATTTAGACAAAAATGCACATTCAACTTCATTCTTGAGGGTATTTGCCAAATCACTTAACACTCATGTAGAAGTATCCTGTCTTCATTAAGTTAATCTGTAACCTGGGTATTCCTTCCGCTAGTACAACACAGATACTATTTGGCCTGTTTCTTAGTAAGAAATCACTGTAGAGAAGATGAAAAGAGCTGCCAATAAATATTATCTCTATTTATATTTCCATAGTTAATTTCCATTTGGGAAAAGCAACAGCCAAAGTAGCCACTTCTACGGGCTATAAAACATCTCCAAAAATTTATAGAGATTCCCTACAGTTCTTCTTTATAGTTCTGTCCAGTATAGCAACCCAACCAAGATATTTCACATCCTTAGGATTCAGCTTTCTTATATGTTCATTGGGATAAAATAACTACTCCCCTCCACCCTCAAGAGAAAAGTTAAAATTATAATAAAAGTTCTTTGAGAGGAAATATAAAAAGCAGGCTCTTTTTAAGTAGACATCTTGCACAAATTTCAGGCATGGCTATCAGCTGAATCTATGAAGGAGATTAAACCCAATTGTCTCAAAGAAAGATGTTTACATCCTGCACCCAACTACCAAGTGATGATACAAGAGACAGAAAGAAGCTACTTAACACTTTAACTTCCTATATGCATCAAGGAAGCTTTCCTAAAGTATCTTGTTAAGTAAATTCCAGGAGGGATGAGACTGAAAACCTGGCTCAGTATTTACATTCATCACGGAGACTGTACTGGACCTTATAGGCTATGGACACACATCTACCACAGGGTATCCATTTATCTGCAACCCTGGGCCACTTCACATATAAAACATAGTTTTTCAGTCCTGAAGGTGTTTGCCGACATCTTCTCTTTTGATGTAAGAATCACATCTACAGGAAATACTTAGATACACATTTGGTCAGCTCAAAAGTATTATACCCTTGGGTATAATACAAGACATTCAAAAAAATAATCTCTACAAAGTTTTTTATTTCAACACAGAAGTATAAGACCTCTGCAATATTGATTTTAATAAGCAATTCTTCTTAATTAATCTGATTTAAGAAATTAGAGGTTTGGCCCCTTAAAAATGCTAAAAACAACGACAAAATAACTTGATATAAATAGCCTTTAAAGTGTTGTTTTTAGTCGGCTGAGACAGGTCCACATAGATTTGTAAGTTTATAAACACACTGAATGCACACTTTAGTCAATTTATTATCATCTAATTTTAATGAACAGTATGTGGCTAAAATTTCATTTGACAGTAACTGTATTCAAAATAAATTGCTTCAAGTACCTTAAGGGCTCACAGGTTAACTACTATGTAGTTCCTAAAATATTAATTTGTACACAATGGCTTGATGACAGATGTAAAGGAAGGAACATATGGCACATACTTAAAAAGTTTTTTGAACAGAAAACCCGGCATTTTAAAACCTTCGTCAAATTCAGCATCACTTTCCTCAGAATCATCTTCAGGCCTCAAACTCTGCTCTTTGTCCTTCAGTCTCAGTTTCTTCCATCTCCTGCCAGGAAAACAAAAACCATATTTTCATTACTTTGGTTCCAAACCAGATTAAAATAGATAGTTCAAAGTAATACAAAGAAAAAAAGACAAAATAGAACAGTCCTTTAGCTTTCTGCTGCCATCATTACCCAAAACACTGATGTTCAAGAGAAAAAAAAAAGATTCTCTTTTCCCTCCTCTTCAATTCAATTCTCATTTGAATTATTATAGCTGCTCTAGAAATATTCCTGTAAGGTCTCATTTCATTATCAAAACTACTTGCTCCTCTCCCGGCATACCCTAAGGGAAAATTTCTCTGCTAGTTCCTAAGATATATGAACTTAATTCTAGAAAAGATTCAGTGGAAATTTCAATATAACTAAATTTATAGATACTAAATGTCATAGCTCCAAAATGACAATGTAAGAAAAAATAAATTTTATTTATAATTACTATTTCTGTGCTAAAGATATGATGGTCATAGCATAAAACAGCACAACATCTTGAACATAAAGCAAGTTTTCGGTCAAAATTACTGTGTATCAGATTCACATGTTGATTACTTAATTAGGGACAGGCATCAACAATATAAAAGTATGGATAATTGTACGACTGAGGAAAGAAAGTGTTCGCTAAATAAAATCTAAGTTATAAATTTAGTTATATGATGCTTTTCAGATACGAAATAGGATGAACATTTATATTTCAGAAGGGTGACTCCATGTATGTATAACAAAAGAAACATCTAAAGATCTGAGAGTATTAGTGATACAGCAAGGCTATTGGGGAGGTACAGCCATTTAGTCAGACTAATTTTGCACCCATATAATTAAAATGGACACTGGTGTCATAAGGGAGGAAAAAAAAAGTCAATAGCCTCACATTCTAGGTGCTTCCAAAATAATAGGATAGCTTTTTTCAGTATGCACGCAACTGACACTTTGAATTTCACAAAATGGTGGAAATGAAATAGCGCAGTAACATAAATAAATGCCTTCCAAGTAGAAAGCTCACAGGAAGGGGATAAGAACAGCAACGCATTTAAGACGTCATTAATCTGCCCTGACTACGAAGGACTAACAGAGAAAGTGTGAGGGAAGGTAGAGGAAAACATGAGAGGATAATATTGCATACACAGCCCAAGTGGAAGAACGTGTTTTCCAACACCAATTACCAAACCAGCAGAGAGGCCAAACACACAGGCAAGAGGCAACCCCGTGCGTAGATGCTGGAAGACCTTAAAAGCACGTCCTCTGATTAATTCTAGCCTGGTGAAAATTTCAGCGCTTCAGAGTAAGGAAAAGAAGGGCTAGCTGAGGCTTAACTGTGATCAGTAAGGAAGAACTAGTTGGTGATCTGAAACTACTTCACAGGGCACTAGGAGAACCTATAAATAAGCACTGCTGCTGATTTCCAGAGAACAGACAACGGAAAAGGCAGTACAAGGCCAAGCCTAAGAAAAAAGCCATCACATAACCATGAAGTTTAATATGTGACAGTGTTTTTTATGGGAAAATTTTAATGGCCTTTTTGTGCCTAACCTCTAAAGGCAATCTCTTCCTCTCTTCAATTAGTATTTTCCTTTCTTAAAAGTCATCAACACGCAATTCAGGAAGTACCTCTAAGTGGCTCTAACAGTCTTAGCTCCTCTTCTGAGTTGCACATTATCTACAAATTCGGGTAAGCGCAATGGTATATAGTAGTGGTTCTCAACGGGGGGGGGCAACCTGGGCATCCTCTGAGGGTGACCCCCACCCCTACCCCAGGATAACTTGACAATGGAGACAATCTGGTTGTTCCAAGTGCTGGGGGGCGGGGAGACATACTACTAGCACTTAGCAGGTAGAGGCCAGGATGCTGTTAAACATCCTACAATGTCCACGATAGTCCTCTACAACAAAATATTATCCAGCCTTCAAATATCAACAGTGCCAGGCTGAGAAATTCTGATATAAAAGTATCCCTTACAATTAGAACTTAGAAACTAAAATAATGTATATCCATTTTCCTGATATATATATACACATATCTGATTTTCATTATCTGAAATTTAGCAAGCAAGCAATTTCAGATAATGAGATAGCCCTCAGTACCCAAATTCTTACAATCAGAGCTCAGAACCAAACATCTGCATAATAAATTTCTTTTTAGCAAATTTGTGGATAATATAAATTTTGAGAAAAAAAAAATCACAAAAACTTAAAAAAAAATCACAGCCACTTAAAAATACTTCATTTTGCATCTACTCAAAAATAATTTACAGGAAGAAAAAGAAAAGCACCAGAAGACGCTGGCTTTATAAGTTTGCACAGCAAGGTCACTGAATATTCTGCATCCAAGAGTTTCACACCTTAAACTTCACTGACAAATGATAGCTACTTCCTTAGACCTAGCCAATTCATCTTTGTGGCTATTAAATTTCCCACCACATCATGCTGCTTCAACAGAGTTTCAGCTTCCTCCCTCTCACTCTTTCCTCTCTGAAATATATAGGCATCATGTTGCCACAGAACACACAGCACCTAGGAAACCACATAAGCCACTACAGAATGATTGCATTCCAGTGCCTTCCGCTTCATAAAGAAAGATGAAAAGAGACAAACATTTATCCAGTTTGGCTAACAGATGACTAGAGGCGGTGGGGAAAAAAATCATTATTGCCTACAAGTATTTGTATCGTTGTGAAGACAAATTGCCCCAGCAGAATCATATGCACATATTAAAGGCAGAAAATACCAGCGTTATGAAACCACATGCACGTGTGGCTCCAGCTAAGAGATTCTCCTGGTATATAGAGCAGTAATTCCTCATGTGGCAAACAACCAAGAGACCTGACCATCTAACCAGCGCCACGAATGCAGGCAGCACCAAGTGTTGGTCAGCAAGAAGCACCACGTGGCACGCTAGTGGGGTAGAGGAGAGCCAGATTCACCTCCACACTGAGAGAAACAGATGTCTTCCCATCTCAGATGCCAACAGGGTCTAAAACTGCTCTCTTCAGTGTGGTTAACTCGCTGGTCCTGCAGGCTGGCAGGCTGAGCGGCCTGCCCAGTCTTCAGGTATAAAAGGGGCTTCCGTGTTGTGAATAAAGCAGGTCTGACATATGCCCCTGTGCTCATGCACAGGCCCAAACCCTCGGACTCAAGACGGTCCAGAATCAAATCCTACTGCCATGTGTTGCCACTTCAGCCCTTAGCAAGCAACTTAACCTCTTTAGCAAAGAGTGCCACCTACGTCACTGGATTTGAGGGAGGATTAAATGAGGTGCCACATATAAAGCACTTATCATAAGACAAGAATATAATAGGTGCTCAGTGAATTAATGTATTATACATAATCATATGTACTTACTAAAACCTCACACAACCCTAAGAGAACTGTCACAATGCTCATTTACAGCGGAATAAACAGAGGCAAAACACAGTTCAACACAATCTGCACGTGAGAAGGCAACGCAGCACGAACACGTGACCAGACTCTGGAACAGATACATCTGCTCAAAAATGATGACAAATGGATGCTCAGTAAATGACCGTGAGGAACATGATCACCATGAGTAAAGACACTTAGCCATCAGAAGATATCTGCTGGAAAATGTCAATTTAGAAGTTCAATAACAGATTTGTAAATAGTAAATTGTCATGAAGTATGGCCACCTTTTTATATGATAGTAACAACAAGATAACTACAGATTAACCTAAAAATGGTTGGGAGTGAGTCAAAATTAAGATCTGGACCCAGAGATCTGAAATCTTAAAAATGGCCTCAGAAATGTCTCAATTCAATTATTTCAATAAATAAGCTAGATGATGGATTTTAAAAGTAGAACATGGCAGTAAATAGTCCAATATTTACATTTTTGGAAAAGTAATCACTTTTCATGTTTTCTATCCCCTCGTTTTAAAAGAGTCACACATGTAAGAGTCACAGCTGCAGCCACATAAAACCAAGCAGGCCTGGTGTTCTCTGGCAGGGTTTCCAACTCCCCACACGACTGCCGTAGTCAGCCCACTGCTGACGCTGCTGGCAGCTACTTAGAAGAGAACCCAGTAATAAACATAAACTTACAATTCCAATCAGATGCAGGCAGGGCAAATGCTCCTTGGCTTCGCCGCATTCGTGCAGGAGTGAGAACCTGGCCCAGGCTGGGGGCCCTGGGGCTGATACTGCAATAACGATCTGTCAGCAGCGGCTCGGACCCAGGGCCCAACAGGCAGCAACGCTGCACAACCAGCTGAACTGCACAGGAACAGTATGTCCTTCAGTTGTAACCTACTGGCATGCCTTGTTGATGGAACCCTGAGAATACATCTGAGAAGTTAATTTCTTTTCGAAGGAGAATTTCCAGCATCTCAAGGACGTTCAAAATGCCAGAGCAGAACACAGTCAGCTGCCACCATGCCGAACCTTGGAGCCCACTCATCTGCATGCCCTGTACTGTCCCCAGCCTCCCTCCCGCAACACACACATTCATGCACGTGCCTGGGGACCCTTCAGACCTCAGCCCAAGCAGCACCTCTGGAAGAAGTCTTGCGCAACCAGCCAGTTAGGTGTCCCGTCCTCCAGGTGCCTTCCTAACACCACGCACCTTGGGCACACCTGATGTCTCCACTACCAGAGTGTGAGCATCTTTTGAAATCTGTATCTGTCTCCCCTGTTAGACAGGGAGCCACCTGAGGTCAGAGATGGTCTCAGTCATTTTCATATCTTTGAAGACTAGTATAATGCCCACCTCACCAGAGGCTTGATAAATGCTAAAGGAATGAATCAACAGGGTTCAGAATTGGGTGAGGAGGACCCACAGGCAGAGAACCATGGCTTGAAAATGGTCATAAAACAGTCCCTCTGAAATGGTTCAAGAAACGTCCTGTTCTAGCTCCTTTAGGTCTGCCTCCTGCCGCACTTCCTGCCCCTTCTACATGCATGACTCTGAAATACTACTCTGGGCTGCAGCCACTGCATAAACATGGCTGGGTCCGCTGCAAAGAATGAGGCCTGGCCAAGAGTGACTGCAAAGTC